ACAGGGTGGCTACTAAATATTGGCGCATGGATTGTTGACCATATTTTAAAAGAGAAGCTATTACATCTTCAGAGGTTTATCTTTATATACCTTATAACATGGCAGTACATTGCTGAAGAAAGTGCTCGAAATGGCCTCCTTCGGCAGCGATACAGGCTTCAAGTCTCTTCTCAACTGACATCACTGTGGGCCGCAAGTAGCTGACGTCAAGCTCCTTCCACGCCTCCTCCAAGGAAGCCTTCAGGGAGTCCAAACTTCGACGTTGCTCAGAAGGCATCTTCTGCTTCAAGAAGCCCCACACCGCCAAATCAATTGGTTCAAATCGGGCGACTTAGATGGCCAAACATTTTGTGCCCGGTAACTTGGAAAATGACGGTCACAGTTCTCCAACATTGATTTTGCGGCATGTGGAGGCGCCCTGTCTTGCTGAAGAATGCAATGACGTTCGCTGAAGGTCAAAAGAGTCCTTGGAAGAAGGGCATTACGTGAAAATTGTTTCCGGGTAGATCTGGGCGCTGGCTTTGATGTATTCATCCACAAAGACAAGCGGTGTCATGGTTTCAGAAGTAATTCCTGCCCAAACCATGACAAATTTGAAAAACGGTTCCTTGTGTGTACACAAGGTCGAGCAGAATGTCTGCTAGCCAGATCCAACAACTGCCTGTCGTTTTGCAAATCGTGCGCCACTTCTGGTCTGAAGATCTCACGTCACGCCGACGTCAGCTACTTGCGGCCCACGGTGATGTCAGTTGAAAAGAGACTTCAAGCCTGTATCGCTACCTCATTGCAAATTGCTTGTTGAAACTTTCGTGGTCACGCATCATATCACTGTGGCTTTGATGTAGCAATTTGTAAGCTTTCTTCAGGGACAATGTTTCCGGCCTACGCTGAACCTGCCCCTGCAGAAAGGGAAGATGGTGAATGTGACGACGACAGCAACTACTCTTCGTTCGATCCGCAAAGAATATTGGAAGCCCGCGCTCTAGTGAGCTACTTATGGCGATCAAATATTTTTGTATTCAAGTGGACTTTTTTCAAACGTATTCATTTCATCAATTACAGAAGGAAAAAAGAGCAAAAGAAGAAAAGATGCGTGAAAGGAGGAAAAATGAGGCCGCTATTCGATATATATACAGCGATGACGACGATGATGATGATGTGCAAGTCCACGTATGTTAGTTACTGTTAAGGTGTTCGGAGTTAGGAATAATCGAGAACTGAGTTTCATTCACATTCAAAACTCGGTGTTTGTTTAACAGCGCCTTTGGACAAAGTGAAAAAGGCCAGGGTTCCCACAAGGCTCATTTTTGGAGGTCCTATTCAACTTCAGCAAATTCATTATTGGCTACACCAGTTGGCGCCGCACGCATTGCGCGCACAACACAGATCTGCATCGAATTTCGGTGGTGCGGCGAAAATTTTCATATTTGGCCTGATAACCACGAATATCTGACTTCTCAGCTAAATTTTATCCGCTCCATCATCGACGGCGGGGCGAGCCTTTAAGTCCTTTTGTTCTCCGCCAACCATACGGGGGGTGCATGCAAGTTATATTTACGAGGCCGACAGGTCTGCGAACTGCTTCGCAGACATAAAGTCTGGGCAAACCTCCGCCTACTTCAGGTCAGATGCCACAATTGCTCCCCGTCCCGCCGACTTTCTGGCACGTTTGGGCGCCGGCCGAGCGTGAGTGTCAGGAGGCGAGAGCGGGGGACGAGTGCCATATATAGTGCCAGAACAGGACGAACTGGTGGTGAGTGATGCGTTTCAAATTTACGGCGCAGCGCGAGAGAGAGTTCGCGTATGATAGGCACTTAACGCGGAGCTCGGGGCCGGTGCGCTGCGAACGGAGGGCGAGAGATAGCGAACATGAAGTAGAGATGGAGGCGCGGACGGAGTCGGCGCCGGGCCGCCCCAAATCGTGCAGAGAAGTGGAGAGCCGTCGTGTGCGCGCTCGCGGTGGGTGTCACGAGGCGCAGTAGGACACCAATTTGTTTCTGCGCCGGTAGGACTTCTCACCGTAAGCCGAGGTCAACCCTACCGTTGGTACAGTACAACGGGGGGTCGTAGCTTGTGGTAGGCTGGAGGGGGGGGGTCGTAAACGTTCGCTTCGGAGTATGCGTAGAGAAAGAAGTTGCATGATAAGATGAGTGAGGAGTGGCGCGGGAGAAAATTTGCCGTTTCAGCGTTATATACCCACCCCCCCTAGAAAATGAGGCGTGGGATTAGAGGTAGAAGGTGGGGTAAGAATTTTAGGGAATTTTGACAAACTTTTTACTGTTTCAGAGGGACTATACATATACCGCCCCCCGCTCGACGGCATTTTTGGAGGAAAAGTGGGCGGAGTTTGGTGGGTTGAGTGATACCAGAATTAAATACTATAGGGAGGAATATGGTGGGTGGGTCGAGAAGGGGGTCGTACCAAATCCACCTTGGGGGAGGGGGTCGGTCGAAAAAATTTTTGCAAAAAGTAACAACGATAGGACCCGACGCTTGCTCTCCCAACCGAGTTATGAAATTTTTCATAAAGCACTGCTTTTTTTGGAGAACGCCCCGCCCACCGGGGGTGGGTCTCCCTAATTCGATGTGACTTACCAATGCACACCTTTACCCACTTTTTGGCCCAGTTTCGAGGTCGTTTTCTAAGAGAATTGAAAATCTCGGTCGTCAGTACACTTCATGTCGACGCACGCCACGCCCACTGTGGGCGGGGCTCCGCTTAGCTGATGTGTGTTTTGTACTTCGTGAGACCTTGCCCACCCATCCCACACTTGACCCGGTCCCTCCAGGCGGATCCCGAGGAGCTAGGGAATTTCGTGACAGACATACAGAACGACAGACGAAGCGCTTCATAGTATGTAAGATCTTCACTCACTTTAGGTTGAGTCGCCTGCGCTTCATTTCGCTCCAATCAGCGTTCCTAAGGTGGATTTACCAACTTCTAAGAAGAAGAAGAAGTCCAAAAAATCTAAGCGGCGAAATCAAAAGCAGAAGCGAGTGAAGCGAACGAGGTAGCCTTTATTCATTTCGTTATACACGTCACATATAATAACGCGTCAAGCCATTCAGAACTCCTTCCTCATCATCGAGTTCGCCGGATTCCTCTGAAGATCGCAGCAGTCGAAAGAAGTATGGTGTTTTCTCATTGTTGTGTACAAGGTTTGCAATTTTTTCTTAAGGAAAAGTCGATCGAGGCGCTCTTCCAGTAGCTCTTCGGCATCTTCTAGTGGTTCCGATGAACAGCGTAAGAAGAGGAAATGCCCTGAGGCGCCAAAGCTCGTTTTGGTGCGTGTTGTTTGTTTTCAAATTCTCGTCCGTGTTCCACCATCACTTTCAATTTCTTGGTTATAATTCGCTGTTGAAAATACATGAACTAGAGGGCATACCGAAAGCCTTGATCTGATCTACGCGGTTGTTGCTTTCCATTGCTGCTGTGTGGCGCTGACTGTTGGCGTATGACAAAAAAGGGCTGACGCGCGCTACAGTTGATTATCGCATGATTATTCTATAGCGGAACGCTGTTGATGGTGGACGCCGTCATTGCTGGACGCAAATTTCGCCGAAGCTCGTCTACTGTTTAGTAGCCACGTACTTCGTGCGAAGAAGACAGCGTTTCTCGAAATCATTACTTGGTAACACACGTTCTTGAGAGGATCATCCGGGCGTTCTCCACTGGGTTTTTGCACCGTCGCTCGGGAACACAAGGGCGCTTTTGCGAGCGTGGCCGTCAGACCTCACACGCGTGAATTACGAATGATAACTTTGGGATGCTTCAAAGGTACGAAACCATTTCAGCAATATTCATATTATATTGTGCGTAGAAAGTAATCGAAGATATATAGCGAAATTCCGATCAAAAAACGTGAAATGGTAAGAAAATTGGAATTCAAGCCCTTTTCTCTGTAGTGGATGCCAAAACTATTTTCGATGTGGATGTGTCAAGTGAAACATATATCTTTCTATCCCTTTAAGTTTGTATTTACTTTCACTACCTTTTCTCACTGACATGTTCATCAGAATAGGAAGAAAACGAGGGATGAACCGAGCTGCCAATTTCGCTGTGCTTAAAAAACTTCTGCTAAACTGGAGCATATTGATCACCTCGTGACCCATGTCGTTTACAGTTATGTTATGTTCTATTCCATAGAATGGAGGCAAGCAAATTGGGAAGAATCCCCGCATACGCTAGAAAAAGGGTGACAAGGGTGAGACGCGTTACCGCGTCTCAATGTCCCACGAGGTGCGCAAAGTGAGACGCGTTACCGCGTCTCAATGTCGTCAATGTGTTAATCCGCATGTTTCTGTAGTCTAACTTCGTATAGCATACATTATACGAAGTTGTTTTATGGTTATCAAATTTCCTTGTACACGTGACGACAAAAGAACGTTACGCTGTTGGATTTCAAAAAGGGGGAAATCTTCACAAAACAAGCGAGGGGCGTCAAAGCGCACGCGATTAACGTGGTTGTTAACAAGTTCTTCAAGGATAGTGCATTACATTAGAGGGTAAGTGAGCCTTTTTCAGTGCTCGTCATATCCCAGTAAACAACCGCCACGCTTTGGATAGTGTCTTGGTTGAATTAACTGTTATGGCATTGATGTTGAAAAAACACCCAACGCTTATTGTAACTGTACAAACACTGATCATCTTATGGTTAGAGGATCTGTCAAGGACTTGGGCGAATACAGCCGAATCGCTAGGCGATTGGGTGATCGGCTAGCAAACGACTGCAAGCGATGCGCCAGCCAGTCACAGCTATGTATGTCATAGCAAACACACACATAGGAGTGGTTAGAAACGGCGAGACTTCGCATGGGGCTTCATCCAGTGGTTGAACGAAGCGCATCAACGAGAAGCAGACAGATGTTTATAGGGACAATAATGTCTCTTGGTAAGCAATCCCGTGTCGAGTTTCTTCATAGCCATACAGCACATACGAAGTGGCGTGATTCATAGGCGCGCTGATCGGAGTACGTCGCAGTGGTATCCCTTTTATAATAGCCATTCTTTACTGAAAGATTTCAGTTCTGGCGTTGAATGTATCCTGTATATAGCCATTCTTTACTTGAAATTTGCAGTTCTGCGATGAAAGTATCAAATTGTGGGTTTTTTTTTATAGAAAAAGGAGAAGTGGCAATTCCTTGGTGACAAAGAGGAACGCTCAAAGGAAGGATCCTACATCGGCAAGTGTTTCTCTGCAGCTTTCACTTTTTTTCATTAAAGGTCTCGTTTACAGTTTTCCACACTATATACGACCACGAACTTTTCCAAATGGACTCCATTCCGAAGGGACATACGACGGAGTACAGAAATCATTTCTACTCTATACTGAACGGTAACGAGCGATTAAGTGAGGTAAGCTTCTGTTTCCAGAAACTTCCCAGTACACGCCTTTTCGCTGTGCCATCATTGAAGAGGATTAAAGCGGTTGATTTGGGCATATGTCAAGCAAGGTTTAGATTTGAAGCAAAATTGTTGGTAGTTGAATTTGTGTCTGATCTGTGTAGTCACACGGGAATTGGGTGATTTATGAGTGTGATTTTGACAGATAAGTGCTCAATATCTGAATGGTACGAAATTGTTTAACAACGTTCTATGTGGTGAGGTTATCTGAAACTTAATAGAAGAATCAAAGTTTACTTATTTTGCTTGGTGACTTCGAAATTACTCTAGATGCAGTTGCTTCATGGAAACACAATTGCCGTTCGACTAGGTGTGCATTTACTTTCTCATACTCATTTTTTACAAAATGTTCATGTCATTGAAGAGAAAACGAGTTAGAGCTGGACTGCTACTTTCATAAGGCAAATCTCTGTCAATCTGAAAAAAAATAATTTTTGACATTGTTTCTTCAAGTAAAGCATATATATTCTATTTTGCCGTCTGAATAGATTCCTATTTACTTCTAATACTTTTTATGTGCGTGTTCATGTCAATAAGAAGAACAGAAGTGATGAAATGATATGAAATTCAAGGCTTAGCAAAACCTTCGCCAAACTACAGCATGTTCGAATTCGTGACCCACATTGTTCATATTCTGTAAATGTGTGATCAATGAGCACGAAAAACTTGGGTAGGAATGGGTATGCGCGAAAAGTCTATGTATTGTGCGCGGCACACATAGCTGCCACGATGTCCTGCAAAAAGTAGCATGCATAATAGTTGCCGCGCTGTCGTCAGTGTGTTAAAATATATTTTATACGATTCCTCTAGCTGTTGCTTCTCCCCGCCCTGTCGCAACTGCATTGTACAAGCTCTGCTTTGTCTGAAATCTCTGTAGGCCGATGTCAGACTTTGCGAATCGCGCGATTCGATTCGCTAGCGTCCGCGGTCGCGTTGCGGTACCAGCCAATTGAGTGATTCACTGGCCGCGACGCGACCGCAGACGCTAGCGAATCGCGCGATTCGCAAAGTCTGACATCGGCCTAAGGATTCTCCTGGATAGTTAACCACACATGAAAAGGGGAACGATTAAACTTCTGCACAGTGAACATGGCA